TTCTCTATTGCGACAGTCAACTGATTACTGCCTTTTCAATTTTATTTGGATGCTTTGTGTTGACAGTCGGGCCAGCCAGATACCGACGACCGTAGCGGAGGTCGATGCGTTACCGTACAGCATAAGTGCATACTTTGAGAATTCTCGTGATGACCTTAATATTATACATTCCCGTTTGTTTTAATAATTAAATGAAAGATAATAACCCGAATTGGCAAAAAAGTACGTTTCGCGCTTTGTGAACGTTTGCGTTCAGTGACGGAATTATATTTGCATCGCGCGCTGATAGCGCGTCTGAGAAAAACGAAGTAAAGTATACTATGACTACACAAACACAGTCTCAATAGTCGTCGTTGCGCTGATGAACGATTGCACCGTGACATTATGTTTCTCGGCTATCGTCTTCGCTGAGAATGGTGACGGTCCCATATTTCATCCAACTCTGTTTTACAACATTTTATCAATTCTCTTTGACAAAATCGCCGACAAAAACACCGCTTTGCTGAGCGTCTTTTTATAATTTAGATGTCGGGTAAGCGATTTCATAGTAGCACACTTAAAAATAAGCAATATATTTTGTTCTCTTTCAAACCAAACATAGATGTGTTGACATAGTCGATCCCTTTCTCGCAGCTAAAAATTCCACAACGTTTGATCCAAATAATATTTATGTTTTGCAACATTCCACAACATCGTCCACAAAAGCAAATTTAGTTATTGAAGAAGCTAGCGTCGTGAAGTAATTAAGGAAAACAAATATTGAATTACCGTTGAATTACCTCGATATCTTACAAATATGGTAAATTGTTATATTAAGTTGTATGCTATGAGCGATGTTCGTAGTCGAATGTGATCGGCTAAAATGTCTAATGTCAGCACTGAATGAATCGTGAATGCTGTTACTGACTGACAGCTGCTGATTATGACTACTTTATTTGACTGTTTATGGTGCGTGGCCAAGTGCGTATTCATGACATTCAAACAATATGCAACGTGCTAAAATGCATGCCATAAGTCTCTATGTGTTGCGCAATTCATATATTCATAATAAATGTAATATCTGAACAAAATAAAGGTAAAATTTCTATTTGTTACATGATAAAATTTATTATGAATGCACTATTTGTATCACCTGTTCATTTTTCTCCTCATAATAAACAAGCATTAAAACCACAATCACTAAAAGTCCTTATTATCCGCCATACAAGTTGAGTGGCCAATACTGTTATGATAAATGTATTATTTGGTTAGACAATATCATACCCAATGTTAGAGAATTTCAGTGCAAGTTCATGACGTAGAATCAGACCATCCTTAACACTATTAAAAAAAACAGAGGGCAATATATTAAACTGATCTTTCGACGAATGACTTTACTGTAAACCCCCAGCATGTCCAAGGCAAAAGTTGTTTTACCTGGTAACCACACTGGGTTGAACTCTGCCACATCATTATTATTGTATGATAATAAGCACTGGCATATCCATCCATTAATCTAAATCAGTAGTCGTATTTTATTATACGTTTCATGCATGTAATATAGCTCCCAGATTTCTGGCGCAGTCAGGGACAAAAGTCTGAAAACTCAATTGTTGTTACGTTTCAATCTTTTAGTATGAATTAATTTTTTGCAGAATATGTCACATCCTGTTACAAATAATGCAAAGACTTAAATACTTGTTTTGTTTGTTTGCTTAGTTACATTTTCAATTTGCTAATGGACACACGGCCGTCTGTAAAAGGCTCAGGTTACATAACGGCCGTATGTCCATTTCATGTTCGAAGCCTGTACACGCATCTCTCACCCGCATTACATCAATGTAAAAGATGACACGTGTAAAGTCCGAAGACAGGTTTACTCGGATGAAACCGATGACAAGACAAGGAAAGAAAGACGAAGACTCCAGAATACCTCAAGAAAAAAATGAATATCCAAAGAATGAACGACGCCAGAAACAACATGGCGCAAGAAATTGATTCACGTATATTCATGACGCATTGTAAAGACCGAATAATCGTGAATGAAAGAAGCTATGCCAAGCAGAAACCATGAGAAGGACAATAAACTATTAGTATATTATGCTGAAAAACACGCCCACTTAAAACGGAGGGGTCGTCACATGCGCACGCGCGGGAATCGAGTCCCAACGGACGATAACAACACGTGCTTGGGTGAACGCTTGTTTGAAAACAATGACACGCTATGGCCATCTGACGCATGCGCGGGTACCGAAACCCCCGCTTTAGGTAACCAGTGCTTCACAGATTTAAAAAGGTACAACGACGGCTTTTGATATGGTAACACCTTTATCGACTTTCTACTATAGTTTACCGACATGATGCATTTCCCATAAAATCAATTGAGAATTTGACATATAGTAAATTGTTTAAAAATCGGTCGATCAGTTGTGTCTCATTAGCGTCACTCAATTGTCTCAAATAGTATTCGAACATGGACTCATTGAAAAATAAATTCCAACACCCTAGAAATGATGGCGCACAGCATTGACCAGAATGCAGAATGTTTTGAGTCACCGCATTTTAAAAATTATCACGCCCAGTGTTGATAAAATAAAATAAAATGTAGAGATCTATTACTCGCACACATCGACAATATACTATTGTTGTCTTGGCTGGAGAGTAATTCAAAAGGGTAGCAGGGCGTTGCATCTGACCCACACGTAGTATACAAGTTAATATACGGATTCATTTAAAACAAATTTATTTAGATTTTACTCAAACCTCGATAAAATAGGTTTAACTCTTTTGTCGATATTCATAACAAAGTATTAATTAAAAAAAAAATAGTTCACTTAATCACAGTGTATTGTTTTTAGCATCTCCAATACTCTAGAATGGCACAAAAAGGAGAACGCTAGGTGTGGGGTACATGTGAACTAAGCGAAGATGACGATATATAGAATGTATAAAAGCCCAATAAACATATGTGAAAGAAATACTATAAATTGTCAGTGTGTTAACAATTATACCAATTATATTTATGAAATCGAAACATTCGATTAACATTCGTCATACAACGATCAGTTACGTTCATATTACAAAAATGTCATTTTGAGATGCATGTGCACCAAACTTATTGTCGATTGAAAATGGACCCCCCTAGTGTCTAGTCGGACATAAGTCTTCCAGTGACGTATGTGTAATGTTTTATCTTACTGCCTCCACATATTATGGTAGCGACAGGGGTGGGTGTATTCAAAATCGAGCAATCGGATGATGAATCATATAAGCACAAAAATGCAATGTCCTTATAATGACGGGGCGAAATAAAATAACCAGACAAAGAAGAACTTACTGCATACCCAATTTCTTTTATTTTATAATTCAAATATGTTGTTAAAGACAGAGTAAAAAAAGGGAAGATAAAATGGATTACATTGGTGCTGATAAATTAGTTTTTTTTTCAAGAGAACAAAAGCCAAACATGAAATAAAAAAACAATTAACAAACGTATTGGAAATCTAGGTTCTGAGAAAGTTGAGATATTGGAAGACCATTATGGAAAACTACTTGCTAAAGAAAGAGGTTAAGAATGGTTAGTAATAAGAGTAAACCAAGTAATATTGGAGTAATCATGTGTAGCAAACACCATATTACAAACACTTTGTAATTCGTTTTAGAAAGCGTTTATTTTTCATTTATAAAGAAAATAACTTTTGATATTCAATCTGAATTGTTAATTTTTACCTTACTTATACATGTTTTACTACTTAAATACATGATACATAATATTTAAATATAGTTATTTATAGTTTACACAGCTATCTTTGCACGCCATCTTTGATTTCGGGAGTGGGGTCAAAGTTTGCATCTACACCTACATTGTTTTCGTATTCTACATTTGAAAACTATCATAAATCAATATTAACAACTTTTAACAATCACCGCACACATTTTACCTGCATAAGCTTCTACATTAATACTTTATATACTCATTTAATCAGTTACAAACAGCTACCCTAAGACGTAACAACTTAGCTCCGAATGACAATGAATTTATTTATATTACAAAAGTTGTCAAAATCTGTAATGGCATTTCTATGATGCCGGAAACAGTACTAGTAACATGTATTGATCTATAATTACGGTCAAAAACCGGTACATTTCATGTAAACTAATCAATGCAAATTTACATAGAAAGATGGGCGTCCAAAGTGATAATGAAGTGATGATTTACAACCAAATATTTCAAACCCACCGAATGGTGGAATATGACGTCAATGCAAATGATTCATATATCGTAGGAGAAAACACATTGGAACCTGCTGATTGCTGCTGATTCCCTTCATACTGCACATATGACTGAAGGAAATTGGAATAATCACCTGCTACATTATATCTTTAAAGTTGATATACAGGTTTTGGAAGATGGAATTAAAACCCAAAAATAAGTTTTTACCTTGTTTATACTTAAAAATAATAAGAATAGTTACAATAAATTTAATTTCAGAACTATAGCTAGTACAAGTGGGCTTGACCTTATGCTTTTAAGTAAAAACGAAACTAGGTATGTTACGTCATCATGTTAAGTGTTGTTCATACTAACTGCAGTCCTGTAGTTTCTGAAAACTACTACATTGTCAACTTTAATTTTCCAATGTCGTTTACAATGCTGGTAAATAGTTGATTGGTTAATATGAGTAAGGAAAAAAGCTGTCCACACTATTCCCTGAAAAAAAAAAAAAAAGATGTTCATTTACGTTGCCGTTACGGTGTAATATGGAGGTTGTGATAATAAATGCAGCAATTGTGTTAATTTTTGATTTTTCAAATCTGGTAATCATTGTGTTCTATGGAATAGAACGCGTGGCTACATAGAGTGAAATACTGAGTTAGACTATTATAATAACGATTCTGCCTTTATTATATTAGTTACACTAAATACCCACATTTACACGTGATACAGGAAATTAAATATGTACTCACCAGAACAATCCGATTCATCTTCTCCCGACGGACAGTCAACATAATTATCGCAGTGCCAATAATTTGGTATGCAGTCACCAGAATTACATGTAAACTCATTACTATTACAATTGCTTTCGCCGCCGTTGCCTATTTGAAAAAACAAAACAAAATAGATTACGGGGCAAATAAATAAAGCAAGGGAATTTATTATAAGAATGATTCTGATTTTAGTCCTCATAACAATCGCAGTACCAATAATATGTTGTACATGAACCAGAATCACACATAAGCTGATAACCACTGCAACTAACACATTTTCAGAGCAAATAAATGAAGGTAAAGTTAGGTTATTTATAATGAGAAACATTCCCCTTTATGTTGAACACAATCTCCCTTACCTGCGTGTGAAAAATGAACATGTACTCACCAGAACAGTCCACTTCATCTTCTCCCGAAGGACAGTCGGCTAAACCGTCACAGTGCCAATAATTTGGTATGCACTGACCAGAATTACATCTAAACTCAACACTATTACAACCTGTTTGAAAAACGCAATGAATTACGGGGCGAATGAATATAGTAAGGACAAGGCTAAGTTATTCCTAATGAGAAGAATTCTGATTTTAGTTACACAAAATATCCATACAAATCCCCTATTTGCGTGTGATAAGGTAGAGTGGACACACTAAATATTGAGTAACTCACAATTCAACTCATCTTCTCCAAAAGAACAATCGTTAAAACCATTGCATATCAAGGATGATCCTATACATGAACCAGTATTACATGTAAATTGATCCACAGTACAGCCACCTATTAGAAACAAATCATTATAAGTTTATATTGTTTGTACTGAGCAGCACGATATCAATTCAGAGCACATTACTTCATTGATCTTGCTTGTTTCCAAATTTTTAATTTTGTATTGGATAAAATTAATATCCATGGTTCATAATATGTTAATCTGTGTTCTACGTTGATCGGTATCATTTACTATGCAGCGTGTGCTTCATTTTAAAATTTCCCGGCATGTTATATCATTGTTATCCTGATTATTAAAAAGTAATTGTATCTTCTATTAATGCCATGCTAATGTCTCAAGCTGGGCGTTGTTATTATATGACGTTGTTAGTTAAGGATTTGCGAATCCTCAAAATCTTGAATAAAATACAATCGGAGTTACAGGCACGTATGCGAATATATAAACATGAAACATTATTCGAATTCACGAGTCGTCGAATGCGAAAGGCAGACGAACTCCAAGTTAGGCTAGATATCAATGTTTTGTAAAATGCATCCTGAAAAAGCGTGTAATAAGTGCGTATTTATAGCGACTAGGCACAATGCGACGAAATACAACACAGTGTAATGTTACAATTATGCTAACTAGTACGAACAGTAGTACATTCTACAGCCAGATACCATATATCACATACATTCGAGGTCGACCAGTCACAGATGACAAAATAGAAAGGGTGAGATTAAGTTAGTACAACAATTTTCAGGGCAATTAAATGAAGGGAGGGTAAGATAAGGTTGGGTTATTGACAATGGCAAAAATTCTGCCTTATGTTGAACAAAATATCTATACATCACCTCCCTTAATTACGTGTGAAAAATGTTACACATAATATATATCACGTACATTCGGGGTCTCCCATGAGGTCGGGACAGTCACAGATGAGGTCATGTGCAAAACAATCGCCATTGCTGCAGCCAAACTCTGGGTAGCAACTGGTGTAAGGTACGCCTAAGTGTAAAAAACAAATAAATATTGTTAAATTGAGTGCAGTCTCTGAAGTCATCTTGTAAGTGTGGACAAATGTTACTTACTGAGGCAATGCTCTTCATCTTCGTTGGAGGGACAATCGTTATCAATTGAATCACACAGGCTGTCTGTATCAATACACGTACCATCACTGCATTCGTATTGTGGATAACATGGACCTATAAGTGGAAAAAAATACTTTGTGTATCGCATGTGCACGGTCCAATATATTGGGGACTGTATTGGGCCAATATACGCTTCTTTAAATCGCCGAGTTTAACATTTTGCACTTAAGTGTGATGCTTACAATGTGCTTCATCGCTTTGGTCTCCACAATCATCATATCCATCGCACTCCCACTCAACAGAAATGCAATGTTTATTGTCACAAAGAAACTCCGATCCACATGGCGCTGAAATTAGAGTATATAAATTATGCACATTGTTATGAATAAAGACGAGCACTTCTTTTAAATCATAATAATAGATGAATGTTCATTTGAATCAAATGTATTCGTTCACAAATGCAATTATCAGTGTGTTAGCAATATATCTGACTGAAAATAATGATTTTGTGTTCGCCATTAATATATCTTAGATATTTATTTTGTTATATATATATACTGACATATGTATTGGCAAATGAACGGGTACTCATTAGAGCAGGCTACATCATTCCACTTCAACATACTGCCACTGAAAGAAACAATAATAACACATTTTTTCATATTAATATTAACTTATAGTAAAGTGCCATTGTATCATATGTTGCAACATAGAATAAGATCGTCACAAGATCACATATATGTTTGAATAAAAGTATAAACGTAATACTAAAGTCCCTCGCGTGAAATGCTTCGAATGTTTAGGATTCACAATTACATTAGGCCCGAGAAAAGTCTAACGGTACGTCTGAAAGTGTATTAGTATATCATATGGTGGCACCGAGGCACTGGCAGAGTGCATAGCACAACATTACCCAATAATAGTAGATGTCTCTCTAATTGTAATGACTGACACAAGACGCGGTATGTCAATCGTCTAAACGTAGGAATGAAATGCAAGGCAAGTGTTACCGCAGAGATCGGAAGGTCATATGAGTTGCGGTTGTAGAATCAAATTCTCATGCTACATGTAAATGGTAACTATGATGAATGGGACTTGACCTTGTTCAACAACCGTGGTAGTTGGTTGTCAGTCGACGACATTATGTTAACTAAGGCTTTACGATGTTTAGCTGCATAGGTAGCTGATGGTCATCTTTGCCTCAAATTCATTTTACCGTTTGACTTGCATTATAAATATTTCATTCTGCTTCAGGCATTACATGTATATTTATGCATTACATTTAGCTAGTATGTCAGCCTGTCTTGAGCATAATGTAGGTTATTACATATGTACTGCAGTTTATTTTGATTCGTCCCTGAAATCAAAATCTGTATTTCCACACCTCATATGCAAATGAGGT